AATTCTTTCATGGCGATTGATTGTTTTAAATGTTTCCTCCATTTTCCTCAAGCGCCATGACATTCTTGTTTATGGTCAATCATGGAGTGTTCATTAATTTTCAATTATGCTGGGGTCCTTGTACATGGCTCTGAGCAGTGGGCTTGGCCTGCAAATTCTAGCATGAAACCATCTTGAAGGCAATCCAGACTATTACTGCAACTCTATGACTATTCTTTCCTTTCAGTGTGTCTTCTCCACAGAGTTCACATGTTGTGTTGTTACAGTTCACATGTTGTGTCATTACAGTGTTACAGTCACATACACAAGTTCCTATACAAAAGGGGACTGTAACGCATGAGCCTCAGTGACATGTGTTCATGCTTCTTTATGTTTGCTGTTACTGTGCCCTTGAGCAAGATACCATTTTGTGACTGATTGGTGTTGCTAAGCATTATTAGATAATTATTCTTGCTCATGGACAGAACAGGCTATATGGACTAATCATCTCAATCAACAATGGAAAACATTGAAAATATGAAATGTGGCAACCCTAATGACTTACATAATTACTTTCATTATGGGTTATTTTTCTGTGAAACATTTGTGGGTTTTGTCTTTTTGATATTTTGGTACCACAAATTGTGCCATGCATCAACAATTGTTGGTCACTGCCCTCAATCTGTTTCATAATTCTAATGTGATCACAACCTATTTATTGCATGTAACCATGGTAACTTTATTGCGTTTGTGAGAAATCTCCATTTCATGTTTGCCGTGTAATAAGTGCAAACATGCCGCTCTAGTCTGGAGTATTTGTAAAATCATGATGCAGTTCAGCTTCAACGGGCAACACACTGCACTTTGATTGGGTTTTCTGCTGTAGCATAGCAACAATTGCCTGGTAGCCTGCTTGGAGGTAGTGCTTTAGAGCCGTGTCCTGTGGTCTCATCATTGCGGTCAATGAGTGACGTGCTGTACATTGATGATAAACCTTGCTTTTCCCAAAGCCCTGTAAGGTGTGTGGAAATGCTGGGAACAGTGGAGAGGTGAGACTTTGATCCGACAGTGTGATCACAGCTATATACAGTGAATAAAGGCCATCACAGCACATTACAGGATTCAAATCACTTCCAAAGGAAACCACACAAAAAGCCTGACTCAGACTCTGTTAATCCCATTACATAAGGTAATAATAAATATACATTTGTGTATCAGTTATTTCGACATATCATAGATGAGTCAATTTACAAAACAAACATGACGCCTTTGATGATAAGCGTAAACCACGTGAGACTGATACTCAAAGATTATAATTGACCAACCTTTTGGCTCACATATATTTGCCAAAACATGACCAACTTAATGAACATCAACAATTAAACTCTGGCCGGACTTGGTCCAACCGAGTGTTGGGTGCAGAATTGCTTCGACTGCAGTCTAACTAGTGCGGAACGCCCTGATACTCGTTCCCTGGCCAAAATTCTGGGTACAAATGCTACATAAACTCTGAAACCCTGGGGTAGTTACTGTGAACTGGGTGTTCCCTTAAACACAATGCCCTTTGCATAGTATACTTATAATTTCATGAACAATTACTAACTGTATGAGACCAGAACAAAATGAAAATATTTATGTGTGATGCAGATGTTAACGAAGAGTGTTGGAGCGCCCACATGCCCCCTGTGTTAGTTTAAGTCAGTTGGTTTGTTTGTCAGATATGAAAGTAAGTGACTGGGAGGCATCACATTACCATGTGATACTATTTTTATCAGGGGAGCAAGGGTGACCCAGTAACTCACATGTGTTATGCAATGAGAAGACACATTCACATGACAGGGCCTTGTTCGGCTGGTCAAAGATGCCACTTACATTTAATTACATTTACCCCAGCTCCATTTAACTGTAGTGGACTTCATTCACAAAAGTTCTACAGAATTTTCCAGCAGATCTTTTTTATTTTCTCAAGACACAGTAGAAAAATGAAAATCCTCCAAACGAAAAGTCTGTACCTACCTATCTTCTATATACTGTGGCTTGAAAAAGAATAACAAATATATAAAAAATAATACATGATAAAATCCTAACCCTAAGCTTTTATTTTTTCTGCAAAAATGATTTGGTGTATCAAGACATGTGTAAGCCACTCTATATAGTATACAGTATGTACAATAACCCTTGTTCAGATTGTTCCTTGTTATAGCAATCTGCTTTTACAATGGGCCCTTAGATGTGAGTATTCTATACAGTAAATATGATTCATTTCCATGATCAGTTTTTAAATGTGCCTCTAGATTATTTTGCTCTGAAAAAGTCCTTCTCCCTGGACTCATATAAGTCCAGTGGAAACCATATTACATACACTGTGTAAATATACACGCCATATATTGGTCTTAAAAAAAAGGTCCGAAAGTTAACATCCCAAAATAAGAAATTGTTTTTTATGTTTTAACTTTTTTACTATTGGTCAGTACCACGATATTGAGAGAGGTGGTTTAGTCTATAAAGATGTTAAAGATGGAAAAAGGAATTTTGGCCCACTACTCTCAAATGAAATGACGCATTTGCGTCAGGTTTGTGGGTTGCCTCGCTCTCAGATAACTATTGAGGTCTGTCCACAAACTTTGTATTGATGTCAGGGCTTTGCGGTGGCCACGCATTTATTTGTACATGAGCTACTTTGTAACTTTGTTTTCATTTTGTATCTTTTATGTTTGACCCTTGTGATGGATCCTGTCCTTTTACTTCATTTCCCCTACCAAACAAATAAAAAACAAAACTTAAATACTGTACATACGTAGCCACAAAAAAGACAGTTTAGAAAGGTAAGATAGTGAAAAGTGATAAGTGACTATATCTTGCAATTGTATATAAGAACCAAATGACTTTAAAGACCATGAGCACATATACAGTACAAAAAAATCAACTATAACATTCTCCCATCTCAAACCAACTATTACTACTTTTTACCCATACTGTTCCTTCTTCATGATGGTATCTATTTAATGTATTTCATTTAATCTGTTACTCCAAAACAGCCCCACAAAATGAAAACATATCAAAATAATCTGTATTAAATAATGTATCTAACAGATATAAAGATATTTGTGTTAGTTGTTTACAAAAAGTATAAGGTTGTTTTAAAGCTTGAGACATTGTGCGATCCTGTTTTGATAACACTACTGCCAAATCGGCTGAGAACTTGTGAAATCTTTTCATTTTCATGATAGGGACCAGTCTTTAGGTCCATTCTCATATAGCACTTTAAATCTCTTCTAAAACCATATACTTAGCAATTCAGCTGTTTTATTTGACTAGATTTACATGCTGTAAATGTGATTTCATTTATCGTTCATAATATAGTTTTATATTTTGTGTTTAGGTTGTTGTAGAACACTTGAAGTTATAAAGTTAAAAATAAGACATTGAGGCTGATGTACATATTCAATTGTTAAATTGAAACATTAAGTATCCTACAGAGTTGGACCTGCCAGGATGGAGAAGAATATGATGGTGGTGTATGACGATAATGATGATTATGGTGAAAAATGAAATATGTGTTGAAATGGGAACCCTGGCACTGATGGCACGAGCTGTGGTTCCATGGCACTGGTTGCCTTTGTCCCACTGACACCACATCAGTGACAGCTGTGGGTCTAGTCCTTTAAATGAGGCTTTGCGCATAGCCTTCGAAACACCACAACTGCATCAGTGCTGGATGGGTTGCTTAGCAACTGGACAGCACAGATCCCTGAAGAAAGCCTCCTCTTCTGTATAAAACACAAGCTTGTAGGATTCTTGCATTGTGATGTGCGCGCACTTGCAGTTTGCACCAAGGATTTTCCTTGTGATCATTAAAAAAAATAACTCAATCTAACAGTACGTAATAATAGTGCTGCGCTCGACAATGTGCGTGGGTGCGTGCCAAAGTCTGAGAGCGAGTCAGAAACGTGAAAAAGTAGAAGAAATACTTTAAAACCCAGGGCGCACAGACACGGCACCCTAATCTGACAGAGGTATTGTGCCAAGTACATGCAGTGGGCGAAGTATTCCCCTTTAGTGTCCTGTACTCAGCGCCACAGTCTAAACCCCGAGAGTAGACAAAGGCTGAGGTGCTGCTCCGTGCGCGCCGACTGTTGAATGTGTCATTTGTTTGGAGCGGAGAGCGGCGCACATTAACGCGCGTTCATTTAGCGTCTGACAGCGAAGCAAGTGGACTTCACATGGGTCTGCATGTCTGGTAAGCAGACGCTCTGGCACGCGCTGGCGTATCAGGGACCATCCATATTTCTCAGCAACTATATATTTTTTTTCATCAGAAGAGTGATATAGCCTGCTCTGACGTCTGCATCAGATATTACCCAGTGCTTTTTCAATGTGCATTTTCCCCTCAGTGACTTTGTGCTGATCTACATCATCATCGGCGGAAGAAGCAGCATCAACGGGGGCAAAACGGAACGAAGAGTTCATTTCTGTGTTTTAGGAGAAGCTCACCGCTCCCTCTGAGACCGGCAGCGTCCCCAGCTCTCAGCGATATCTGACAAGAGCCTCACGTTGTGGAGTAGTCTGGCGCGTTCGCCTCTCTGGAACCATGCCTCTTTTGCAGATCAGGACTGGGAAACTGTATCCACCGATTTGATCACTTCTGCCCACAGCTGCTGCTGCTCACTCATTCATGCCAGTGTTTGTGTTTTTTTCTGGAGAGCACTTGTCATCACTTTTAAAAGTATTGTGTGAGCGCTTTTTTCAGCAAGATGTCTGATCTTCTGGTGTTGGTTGAGGGGGTTTGTGACTTGCACGGATTTCCATAGCTTAGGTATAACAGCGGGGACCAATTACCACGTTTGTTCGCAAAAGTGCCACAATTTGCCCCAGACACATGCGTGTAGATGTAGGCTAGTTTACTGGACATTCCCTCAGAGGCAATTGTTTGTGATTGCCACTTTTATTTTGTGCTTTTTGTGAGGCTCTCTGGACTGGTTGGATTATATGAACTATATCTAGTCTACGGATTTGTGGAGATGTTGGGTCGTCAAGAAGATAAATTATGTGGAATCTTCTCTGCTCTGGCGGCTTTGTCCTTCGTATGCTTTATTCAAAGGTAAGAAACGACACAAAATATTTTATACCATTAAACCTGATTGGCGTCCTTTGAAGTGCTCAGATGTGGCAAATTACATTAACGACTACTAGGCGTACTTATTAGGAGCAATGTGGACGTATGCGGTCTATTAGACCGACTGTTGTGGCTGACGTGCGTAAAAGTCAACGCGCGCGTGCACAACATAGAAAAGCTATTGACAATGTATCCTGTCTTATCAACGTGTCCACAAAAAATGGAGACCCTTTTATTATTAGTGTATTATAATGAGTTGTTGAGTAGGTGATCATTCCTTAATGGGATTTATTCAATCAGCCCAGTACCCTTGTCACTTGCGAGACTATATGTATAACCTGCTTTTGTCAATTGGTTATTCGAAAGCAAATCAACATTATTCATTATAATATGAAATTATAATAAATCGCTCTGCTTTTTTATTTACCAGACCTTGAAACATAATCATTTTTATTGTGTCTGACATACAGCCACAGTCTCCATGCCCCTCTTCGCCTGCAGTAACCATGTTCAGTGATTCATGCCTCACTTATTTTCAGTTAAATTACAAATGTGTGGGTGGGGTGTCACTCAAATATCCTCAAATGACGCTCGCTGATAATTTATTTATTTATTTTTATTTTTTTGCTGAACGCTTCCCAAGGCAAAATGTAGCCATCTTGACAAACAGCTGCACGCGTTACCTATGACCTAATTGAACAGTGTTTCCCTCATCCCTGACTGACAGGCCCCGGGGCTGCCTGGCCATCCACCGGGGGAGCAGCGAAACCCCACTCCCCGTTACTGCTCTTCATAACCCCAGCCTTAAAACCTTGCGTCTCAGCCATGGATGGGCTGTGGGTCAACAAGCAAATGGTATAGGTGTCAGAGCAGCTCAGACCGAATTCCTCATGGGGGCTGTCTGTCTATGGCCTGCGTAAAGAGGGGATAGGGGTCGTGGTGGATAGTGGGTAGTGGATAGTGCTCATTGAAATGCAGCTCCATGCGTTCACAGAGATGGACTCCTACCTCATAGGTGAGCTAACAACAGTGGCATTTGAAACGTCATAGACTATTGAGAGAGGGTGCACACATGAGATGCTTTGGATATGACGCTGAGAAAGCCTATAGGTGAGGTATTTTGATGATGATTGTAATCTGATGAAATATGCACTAATGTGAAATAAAATAACTTATTTGAAAATTACTACGTTTTAACATAAAGTTTGGACAAAACAGAAACATCTTCCTGCCCCTTTAAAATAACAAATGTACAACTCAAACAACGTACCAACCTTTGTGAATTGTGTATTTTTTTTAGACCAAATTTAATCTCTATACCACTTTTCCATGATAAAAAACATAATACTTTAGCTGCAAGCAGCAAGGAATGGCCCTTGCCTTTGCTAAGCCGCAGTATACAGCAATAGAAAAGGGGGCACTATTGCACACTTGACCTGTGTGTATTGCACCCACTGCTGATAGTGAGGAAATTGTAAATGAGTTTAGCAATAGACTGGGTAGCATGATTTTATTGCAATGTGAGATTCTGATGAGGAGTAGAGTCTTTCTCTGCTGCCGACACTGTACCGCAGTCATTTGTTTGAGTTTGTTTAAAGTGTAAAAAATATATGTTTTCAGACATGTTCTATTGATTTGCAACAAAGCGTCCCCGGTGCATTTAGTTAGGATTAGGGTTACAAGAGCTTGCGATGTTCGGGCCTAATAACCTATTCATTCTCAAGCAAGATGCTATTGTATATTTGTTTAGTATTGTATTGGAGAAATGTGGACTGTTGTAGAGCCTCTATCTAACTTTTTATTACATTGAGACAATAACTTTCAGGTCTCAGATGAATCGATACGTTGATGGAGACATTTATTATGTTGAGTCCATTCTTCTTCGGTAAAAGCTTCATTGTGCTGACAAAAGTGCTTGAAGGTAGCTTTCATGTCGTTAATGTGGCGAATAGAAAGTACATACTGTCATTACCCACTTTTCTTTAAGAAATAATAAAGTCTCTTTTGTGGTCTGTGCCCTCAGCTCCTCTGGAAGCACAGGAATGTCTTTGGCCAAGACCACCGTGGACAAGTTGCTGAAGGGATATGACATCCGATTAAGACCTGATTTTGGAGGTATGTGGAATCAGCAGGGTTGAGTTGGTTAACAATTATGTCATTTATCAACAAGGACCAATATTTTCGGTCTGATAAGTAAGTGCTTTATATAAGAACAAATTTGGTCCAGCATTGTGTCATTTATCCATGTATGAATAGAAATGTATCTAGGGTAAACTTAGATAAAAATATCAAACTCCTTTGATATACTCCGTCATACACACACAGTTAAATAGCCATATAGTTACCTCTCAAACAAGTAAATAACAAATCTTCAAACCACTTCATTTTATAGTTTTTCCATCCCTATGATTTGCAGTGCAGTAAAAACGCATCAGCTTGTATTCAGTAGTCGGCTTGTCTCTTAACCCATGCAACTATAAAACTACAACACACATACAACACACATAAAGCACACGAGAATCATAGTTCATAAATGTCCGTAAATTTCCTGGATTGTCAACTGTCCTCAGAGCCTTCAGAGATCGAGAATCTCCGGGAGACCCACAGTTAGAGAAGCATCCACTCCCAGGGACAGACAGGCTGTTAACCCAGGACTGAGTTTAGGTCAAAAGACTAAGGAGAACAAGTTCTTTTGATAATTTTTGGGAGTCATTAGTGAATTTCTTTTCAGTATAGAGGCAGAGATTGGCCTCTTTTCATTTCATGTTTAAGAACCGTAGCATATTTATGTTTCTGAAGCTCCAGCCCAGAATGTTAGGTCAACATTAGCATTTGTAATGGGAAGTGTTGAAGGCCACTCACTGGTGACGTCACAGCCCCTTAATTTTGTCTATACGCTAATTTAACACTTGAAACTATACAAATGAATGTATGATTACTGTTGGTGTCACAAAAGATGAAACAAGGGTCACTGTTTTTCCCTGTATACATGTTGACGGGGTATGTTGTTAATTTAATGAGAGCAAAGAACACAATAGACCGTCTGATGCCACTTCATGTAAATGCATAAACCTACAAAACAAAGCAAACATCTTCAAAGGCAACTCACTAGGGGGATATCAAGCCACGCTAACTGGCAACCCTTGTTTTATTGTTTTTATTTATGGGAAAGAGGCCATTCTATTCCTCTAATTGAAAACACAGGAATCAGGATCAAGATCGACCAAGAGCTTTACAACGTCACTATTGTCTTGTGGAAACAGATTGTGGCCCATCAGCCCATTGACTGAAAGTGTGTGATGGAGGAAGCAGTGAGGAACACAGCAGGCGCACCTTGTAACCTCCGTCTGTCTCGGTGCTTTGCTAAAAACAGATGCTCTGATGAAGAGGTGCCCAAATGTGTAAAAACATGTTTCAGTCCAGGTTACGTCTTCTTCTATTCTTTGGAGCGCTGCCATTTGTTCTTGGGGTTTTAGTGGAAGGTTAGGAGCAAGCAGACTGTTTTATTTGGCTGCTCCCAAAGACATTTTCTGGAATGATAGGACAAACGTATCAATCTTTCTAGATCATTCACATATTAACTGTTATTTTTAGAAAATATGTCTGTGTACAGGACATCCTCTTCAAAGTGATATTAATAAATTAGTTTGAGACTTTTGAATCCAAATTCAGCAATGTGTCCTTCATTTTCTTTTCATTGCTGGATACATTTGGATGTAGCCAGAGGATGGTAGGTGGTATGGTAGGGACAGTGTGGCATGTGGAGGTGTGTTCCTTTTCCAAACTCATTTTGGTTTTTATGGAGTGAGGCAAATCCAAATCCAAAAGCATGTTTGTTAGTCAAAGATACAACTTCACTTATGCATATAGCTTCTGTTAAGGCACTTTAACTGCCAATAAATACAATTACAAACTTGTGTCGCCCAGCGGTCACTTAGTTGTGTGTGTATCCTGTAACTTTGAAAGTGTTCCTCTTCCCCTCACCCTGAGGCCAGGCAACAGTGGTTCATCACATGGTTATGTCTCCAACATCAGTCAGCTGCTTCTGTTCGGACACAACTGCTGACCAGCCTCTGCTCTCCACTTTGGACAAACCCACTTTCATTTGGCCTCTGCTGAACTGTCTCTGAGATCTTTGCCAACCCCCAAACTAGTTCACGGATCAGGATCAGACTAGTGCTGTGGGGGAGAAGTGAAAATTTAATGCTGACAATATGTAGACCGCAACAAGATCTATTTATATCCATATTGCTATGGATAGTTAATTTGGTTGGCAGCTATCAATCAGGCAGTTTAGCAATTATTACCTTTAATCAAATGAGAAATTTATTGACATTTATACTTTCCATATAATATCCTAAAATTGGTTAGGAGTTTCTGCGTAAAACCATATTTTAATCATAACTTCAAAAACAGTAGTGCCATGCAGTGCGATGCCATGCATGTAGCACACGTAAATTTGATCTATATATTGGATATGAAGCATAGACTGTAAATATGAACGGACGTCATTTTATCATATTAACGATATAGTCACGCCTACATCTACGCCATTGAAACTAATGTGACATCACTTTTGCCGTCTATGGGGCTTTTCAAAATGGACGCTGGGGCTGGAAAATGTGTGAGACCCATTAATTTAACGAGTGCCTTCAAAATTCAACAGCGACTAAACTAGACTGGTCCAAAAAAATATACTCCCCTCAGCATTGACACACATGGGGAGCTTGGCCCAAGAGACTTTTGGACCATCCTGTAAAGCCGTTTTCGAGAGGTGAGAAGATGCTACACATTAGCATTGAATAATTCTTATTCCGGGTCCCCCCATCAGCCCGGGGTGGTATTGCAAGCATGACATCGCACATCATTTTTAACATTTTTGAGCCGGGACCTGCCCCCACTGATATGAACACAGACCAGATGAATTTAGGATTCCAGAAAGATCATGCTATCTTTCATTACTTGTGCTTTAAGGACATAAACTCACACATTAAAATATACTATACACAGGGGTGCACATAAGGGGTACGCAGGTACGCATGCGCGGCAAATATCAGAAATGCGTACCATCACTTGAGTTAGTAAGCACATTTGCGTACTTCACATAAACCAGTCCTCCTCAAATAGTGGGGCGCGATGCAATAACATCCTCCGTTCTGACCCTGGGGGAAACGGTGGCCGCTTCGACAGCAGCGAACGCGCGTGGTCATGTACCGAGCGTGGACCATAGACACACGTAGAACCATACACTTGGGATCAGGACCGTCCCCAGGTTGTTGCACGTGTGGGTCTTGCCTGTCTCCCCCGTCTCTCCCCCATGCCTCTACCACGTCTCCCCCAAGTCGCCACACGAAGCGCAGCCAAAACTCATTGGATTAAAGCTCAGGTACCTACATTTTCGCTTGCATTGAAAATGCATGTTATTTGTGAACCAAAGTAAAATGTTGTGACCAAATCAAATAGAACAAACCAAAAAAGTATTGCTTTTTATTTTGCTTACTTAAGAAAGAGCCCTGTGAGTCATTTGACTTTTTGGGCCGAGAGTGAATTTTTCAAATATTTTTTTCCACATAGTTAGTGCCGCTTTATTGCCAAACTCTTTTAGAAAGATGTGTTAGTCCCACTTTATTATTGATTGTTTTATTACCTTTCCTGTGTAGAAGTTGTATATTCTTTTTATTATTCTACTGAAGGATTATAATAATACACTGCATTTGTATTGACAAGTGACAGCTCTCAAATGTATTTGAAATTATGTTTCTATCTGCTCCAGAGGCCGAGATATCAATCATTCTGTAGACGTTGAATTTCAGGAAAACTTCAGGTTTTGGAGAGTGGTTCTGAAGTCGGCCATAGGTTTTATAGGTCTGTTTTATCAGGTGTGTCAGGCCTTAATGGGTTGTTTGACTTGGATTAAGTTATCTGAGTTGATCTAAACTTTAGCATTAAAAAGAATCAAGTATAAAATCTCAATTACGAACCGCGCGACAAATGGAGTGAGTACCAAACACATGTCCTGGTACTCATCTGAGTACCTCACTGAAAAAATTATGTGCACCCCTGACTATACAAATTATTACATGTACAATTCATTGATATTGAAATTAGTCAAAAGAAATGAAAGTGCAAGAAGTATGTAAAAATTGTGCCAAAAGTGGTACTGCAATTTCTCCCTCTCTCCCTGACTCAGGTTGCCAGATATACAGACGAATCCAGCAGGGACCATAATAATAATAACTGACAAAAGTTTTGTCAACAACAAATCTATAACAAACACCTTTTTCACAAAGGCCCCGATAGAAGTCCTTGTTTTATTCCTTGTTTTGTCATTAATGATTTGAGAATCATAACAAGACCTTTTTTAATACTGTGGCCTTTACCAGTGAGATTAGCTTGACGTGGTGAGTTCTGTCAACCAGGATCACAGACTTTCTGATTGTTGAGGGCGGGACATCGAAAGGAAAACAATAACAAGATTTAGGGGCTGTCAAAAGTATTCTAAAATATACATATTAGGGCCATTTAATGATGACTTGACATGAAAATCTTACATATTGATACTTTAATGCTATCTATCAACTTTATTAAACATTTAGAATTAATTCAAGGAAACACAAATGTTTTTGCTAACTTATATAGGGACCATTAGAACAGTGTTACTTTGTGTGTGCCTGTAATAAGTTATGACAGGATGAAAAAAGTAATGGCATTTTGTACATGCATATTCAATTTAATATGATATATGTTGAACATTTAAATGGGCCATATGCCTGGATGTGAGGTAGTCCATATGGTCTGTATTTCTGACTGTCCATATGGTCTATATTGACTAATCAAATCATCCATGTTTCTTGATGGCCGTATGAGAATTAAAGTAATCACGATAAAAAAATAAATGGTCGCAGCTTTACAGCGATAGACTCCATGGAGCAGAGAATATTTGAAGAAGCACCATCAGATACACAGCCCATTGTAACCCTGGTGCAGCCTGTCTAGTCCTGGTTGAAACACCAAACTGTAGACTTTGGTAATGCAAAGGGGGACCAAATGTAGAAAGAAAGAATGGCACATACCTAGACACAGAGCTTGGGAGAGCATCCACACAGTCTGCACTG